AGTGTAAATGGGGCTATAGACACTGAGAATTTTTTTTTTTTATGTTAGAGGAAAAATGTAAATGGAAAAACAGAGCTTAAAATAAAACTCAAGATTTGTACTTTTTTATGTTGTGTAATTTTCTTTTTTCTCGAATTGATATTATAAAACTGGTATCGAAAAAAGTATCGTTCAGGAACCGGTATCGAAGTGAAGGTATCGGTATTGGTACCGGAACCGAAAATTTTTGAACAATACCCAGCCCTACTTACGACCGTACAATTCTTCAAAACTAAGGCTGTGTCCGACCGTCCGCCGTGACCCCTAAACCCCTCCATCACTATATAGTGAACTTAATAGTGAACTCAGTTCACTGACAGTTCGGATAGATCAGGACTGCTTTTTGCTCTCTGTTGGTCACATTACTAGGGCCCTATAATTTCACGGAAATCACGGACAGAATCGCGGAATTGGCAAATTAATTCGGAATCTAGTGTAAATGCGCAATTTCTACATTTGAAATTAAATTCTGTTTATGTGTGGGAGAAGAACGTACGTCTGGGGGAAATGCACACTGGGGGACGCAAATCTATGCGACGCAACCCCTCCCGCTCCGTCATTTCCGCTCACCCTCCCCCATCAAAACATTGAAAAAATGGCGAAGCGGCTCTCCACAGCTCCGCTTTCGGTGAAAAAGTTGAGAAACACGACGCTAAGCACGGAGTACAGAGCCGAGCAGTTCCCTCATGACTTTTACGTGTCAGGTGAACTATTGTTCTGCAAGTTTTGTCAACATTCCATTGATTGTAAGCGCAAAAATACATACATAAAACAGAAAAAACGGAATTCTCAAAAATTAAGGAAAAAACTGAATTTGGGAAAAAATTAAATGGATTTTATAGGGCCCTACATTACTCCTCCTCGCGATCCTGGGGCCGTCTCTGTGATTAGTCACCGCTGTCGGGTAGCGGCAGTCTATGGCAGGCTGCCGTGACAGCAAATCCCAAAATGCTTTGCAAGGAGAGCTCTTTGCGCAAAGCATTCTGGGATATATCTGCCTCTTTAAAGGCGTTGTACACCTCAGAAGCTCATGAGGTGCTGCGTAGGGGTGTAAATAATAATCGTTTTGTATCGATGCATCGATCCAAAAGCTGACGATCCAATGCATCGATACGTCCGCAAGAGAATCGATTCATGTTTTGTTTTTTTTTCCCTCCGGTCTATTTTTATCCATTGGGCGTAATTCTCCTCCCGTGCTGCGGTGGCGCTAAACCTATTTTGCCCTCCTACCTCGCTTCCTGGTTATACTCTTACTGCAGTGTGTCGCAGTGAGCTTGATGCAGACATTTTTGATTTATGCTCAATATTGAAGCATGAGGAGGTGAAGAAGTGGGGGCGAGTTTAGTCCGACGACGGAGGGACATGAGGGCCAAAAAGAGCGGAGATCCAGGTGGAAAAAGGGTCCCAGCGTTCTCGCGCACCTCGCTCTTCTAGCGGGTCAAACTTCACGAGTTGTTTTCCGCAATTTCGGTCATAAAAACAAAACAAGCCGGCCTTCTGTCTGCGGCACTGTCTGCGGTCAGCTACAATTTGGGAGAGGAGCAGCGGAGCGT